ATCTCAGTGGCTATCACCAACTATACAACAAAGACAACCCGAAACCCCAAGCCGCAACATTGAAAAGCCGAAAGAACCCTGGGAAGCCGGAACCCCCGCGCCCTTCCAATTCAAAAAAGCCTAAACAACTCTCCAACACCCTGTAAGAACAAACAGCCAACCCTAAACCCCCAAAAGCCCCTAAAAGCACCCAAAAGCCCCTAAAAGCCCCTAAAACCCTTAAACACCCCTTAACCCCTCTAAATCCTAAGCCCAAGCGAAGCTTTTCGCAAGGCCCGAGCCGAGGGTCTGCGAAGGGCTCGCTCGGAAGCCGCCGAGCGCCGGGAGCTGTACCTTTACTGCACTTAGGAAGGGTCTAGGGTTTTGGGTTTAGGGTTTAGGGTTTAGGGATTATGTTCTCTATTTTTTCTGAAAGAAAAAATTCCGGGGAAAGAAGAATTGTCATAGTTGGGAAGCATTTTGCATATTTATGGGTACTTAGGCTAATGAGGGGCAGAACTTTGGGATTTTTAATTTTCTCCCCACCATGAACGAGGTACATGGACTACGAGATCACCCGGTGCTGCAACCGCGCTTACGCTTTTTTGGGTTTTTCTGATGCAGTTGATGATTTAGGGCTTAGGGGATTCCGGGTTCCTTGTTTGGTGGGTTTAGGGTTTTGATGTTGCTGACTCCGTCGTCTGGGAGGCACACTGGGGGCCCTTCAATGTAGATTGGGGTCTCTCATTGAGGCCTTATTGTCTGAATCTCCCATATTGATCCTCTGGCTCCTTGCCAGGCAAATGCAGGAGCCGGGTCACATCAGCGCTGAAGTGTCTCGGTCTTCGATGCCTGTCAGGAAGCTGTACAACTTCCCCTGCAGGAGAAGGCAAAACTCTTCCAGATCAGCCAGTTCGAAGACCGAATTGCAGATGAGCTGGCAAAGCCAGGGCCATAGTTGCATAGAGAGGGCCAGGGCCTCACAGCCCACGAGCCCGTGATGCATGTTCCAAGTCGCAGGCGAAAAGCAGTGGAGCAGCGGGAGGTGCTGCCGGCTGTGTGCTTGCCTGTTGTTGTTTCGGCGTGTACATCCCTACACTACACTACACTACACTACACTACACTACACTACACTACACTACACTACACTACACTACACTACACTACACTACACTACACTACACTACACTACACTACACTAAACACTACACTAAA